ACGCAACTCATAAATTTTAACAAACTATAAATTTTTGATTATAATATGAGTACTACTGATGTTTGGAACGATGACTGTTGAAGAATGAATTGTCTGTAGAATAGGGTTAAGAATTGGTCAAAATGCAGAAAGAAAGGGAAGACGAAGCATTGTATAATCCGATATCGCTACATGATGCATTAATTTTGGTATGGTCAATAGCTAAGAAATTTAGGAAGATTGCAACTTCTATGACTCAATTCGTTTCCTGAAAAAAATACATTGGAGTTCGATATGGGCAGCAGCAATCAATGTATTGTGAAGCACTTGTTTTCAAAGCTACCGTTACATTGTGCTACTGGGGAATGCAGAGTAAATGGCATTACAAATGCGCATATATTTTTCGTAAATTAATGTTTCAGTTTTTTTTCTAATCAAGACACTATAGATGTTTCCACAAGAGTAAATGTCAAAATGTGACCAATCCTAATCTGACGTGATCAGCTCTTTTTTGCTTTACAGTACTCACCCCTGGTCCTTTAGATTCTCGGCAAAATCCAAAGATGACCTTCTCTGCAACTTTTGATGCCCAGAACCACTGTTTTGTGCGTTCATGTAGTAGTGACTCTTCAATCTAAAAAATTAGATAACTTGACAACCCATTCCATAGAATGAATTTTTAATGAAGTGTGCATATAGAAAGCGTAATATCTGACGTTTTGAAGCCCTTCAGCAAAAATTATTCTTTTATATTTTTAATTTCACCCCATTGCCCTGAGGCTATGCAATAGATCCCACAAATCAATGTAAGAAATCGTTTGTTTGCTGCTATTTGCTCATCTGCGCGAGATGAGCTCTCGAGTAAAGCGCGGCGAGGCCAACGCCGCGCGACACGCCTCAGCTTCCCCCTCTCGGCCAGGAAGACGGGTCGGATTACCTCACTGCAAGATCATCCCAAGCTTCAATTTTCATTCGTCTTCACCTCGCGTCGATTACTCTTGCGCTTTTGTTTTGAAGCGTCTTCCATTACAGTATATCTACCGTAACAGTATGCACAGTATGTCTATCTCCATGATAAAAACCATTTGTAAATGGCAGTGTTGTATTAGTTTCAAGTTTGTTTGTAGCACCTCTCTCTTCAATTCTTCATCACTCTTGCTCTTTAGGACTACGGAAACTTAATTTAGATTTATGGCATTATAGAGCATTATTTTGTTAGAAATATCAACCGATTGCAAAAGATTTCTAATTTAACACTTATTTGCTCCATGCTCAGCTCCAAAGTTGACCTCGTGCCATTTTGTTGATTCAGCAAAAATCAATGCTTTCCAGAATAAAATAATAAGATTTTGGTGTTCAATTTGTAGGATTTTTGTCACTACACACAATATAGCAACTTTTAAACAATTGCGCTTTTTCGTGCTTGATCTTTTAGACAAATAAGGCATAATATGGGCAATTTTATCGTTTTGCTCCAATTCTTCAACGACCCTAGTTCCACACAAAGATATCTACAGATGAAAAGTTCGTTACCTTCGCTCTTTTTTGTGGATGTCCACAAAATATGAGCTAGTAATAAAAATTAGTGACCGTTTTGTTTGGCAATCATCTCGGATAACTATAAAGTAGTGGATTCTCTTAAGCTATGGCTGCTAAGGAATGACCCAAAGCTCGCAGAACCTGCGATATCCTGCCAACCAACCGCTCCTTGAAGAGCCTAACTTATCCTTATTGGAGAGCGTTAAGGATGTATCGGGCATAAATGCTCTTAATCGTCTCGTAAACCAAAGACAGCGGTAGAGGGTTTCAAATGGAAGGAGATGAAGTTATGAGACTCTAGGACTATATGAATATCAACATCTTATACGTAATACTTGTATTTTATTTACTACCATTTCTATAAATCTATAAAAAATTCTCCTCTATACATCTTTACCTAACCTTCTCATTCTTTTGACAAATTTGAGGACTTACGCAATAGTGTAATATGTTAGCATCTTAGTGCTTCTCAACCTAGCGAAGGACAAGATGAACTTTTTCCGCTGGAACAAGCGAACGTCTGATTAGAAGAGTGCTGCTGATCTTATAAACTGCAGCCTCTGCTGATAAGGGTTCGCATGATTACGAAAATACATCTCCAAGTTAACTACATGCAGCTTTACATGTAAATATGACTAGATACAAATAACAACATTGAATAATTTCCGATTACAAAACAAGCATTATGGGGTCCTGCCCAAAATGATTACCATAATAGCCAGCACTAAGATAAATGTAAGAGAAGATACTTTATAAGTTATCACAATCAAGGGAGACAAAGTGGTGAGAAAAGCATGAGTGCTGATTTAGAACTGTTTATCGCTAAAAATCGTTCAATATCAAATGTAGATGCTATCTTCAAATCTGTTTGCTTTATGACTAAAACCATTGCACTTTTGGCTAAAAGTAAGCAATTGCGTGTACTTTCATGCCAAATGTCAGCTGCATTCACAAAATCTGATTTTGAGTATTTGACATTTCTACGCCAGTGCATTTCGTAACAGCACTTTGCACAAAGAAACTTGAAAAACTCAACAAGCGGTAAAGACTGAAAATACTTCAGAGATGTATAAAAAAGGAAAAGTTATTTTTTGATGAAAGTTGAAAAATGAGTTTGCGCAAAAAAATTCTCAAAACCCTTTCAGAAATCCGAGTTTCCATGGAAAAAAGATTGCGACAGTGAGCCATAAAAGTTCCTAAAATCTAGTATGTTATATGAAATTAAAATGGGTTTGGTAGGTAGAAGATATATGATCTTCTAAAAAAACCTTTAA